TTGGTCAAAGCTCAGATGACAAATTTTTTATGACCTAAATAATGAATAATGTAAAAACAAACCTTATGGTCTTGCACAAGCTTCACCAAAAGAAATTTCTTTCAATTATTTGTGCTATAGAAAGAAAGAGGATTAGTCACCAAATAACAAGGTTTTCTTAGAAAAAAATTATCATTTTGTGTATTGTCTGATAGAATTAGGCACATAATTCCAAAGAAAAATAAAAGAGCTTTCTTGATACAATAAATATATAAACAGCTTAGACATTTTGGAATATGCATAATATATTTTATTTAGTTGATTCAATCTTTTACAAATATTTGTACAATCAATATTTTTGGATTGACATGTATCAATAAGTTGTCACATATATTTTACAGTGAGAAGCATGTCATCAAATCAAGTCATGTTTTAATACTTTATTATCTTAATACAAGCCTTTATCAATCACAGATTTAAGCTACCATTGGTCTTTGGACTTTGCAAGGCCACTTCTTAGCACCTCACATGGAGCTAAATACATGTTGGTGATGGTAAATCATTTTAGTGAGTACATTGAATTAGTGGCTTTGCTACAAAATTCTTCAAACTTAGCAACTATGGCTTTTTTTTATTATATATTAGTATACTTTGAAGCACTTGTTAAAATCTTAATAAATTAATAGAAGAAATTCTTAAAGATTTTTGAAGTTTTGTATACTAAAGCTTTAATAGATCATTGCACCACTTTTAGAAATCATCATGATATAGATTACTTAACTGAATTATTTGTTTAGGCTATTAAACTTATTAAGTTATTAAAAGTATAAATTATTTCATTGTAACCTTTGTAATTGAAACTTGATATTATTATAGATTATGATTGTTTATTGCTTTAGTAGATAGGCATATTTGACATCTTATAGTTCTTATCAATTGTTGTATGGAAAAAAGTCATTCCTATCAAGCTCATTAAGTAAGAAGCTTAAATTGTGGACTTAGATGACCTTGATATTTGGGCTTAATGTCTACATAATCAAGAAAAATTCTTTAAAAAGGCCATGTCCATGGCTATGGAAAACTTATCTATTATTCAAAATTGTGATACTTTAGTATATGCTTGCATTTGTAGTAGAACTTATCAATCTCAAGTGTGGAAATTTTGTAAGAAAGATAATGTATATTTGCAACATGAAGTGCTTACAAAACTTGATGTTAAGGCAAGGCACATAAATCTTTGTATGAAGGATGTATTGCTTGGTAGTATTTTGCTACTTGAAAGCAAAGATTGATAAGAATATTGAGAGCATTTAAAGAATTATGATCCTTATCATTTTTATATTAATGATATATATATATATATATATATATATATATATATATTAAAATAGATGTTGTATAAGATAGATCTTCTTGTATTGTATGTGGTAATGAAAAAGGAATTGCTATTATGATATTGTGTAATTAATGCCAATGTAAGTTACATATGGCATGCTTGACACCACCTCTTTTGACTATTTTTTCAAAAAATTGGATTTGTTCATATTATATGAAGTCTTTTAGCCATGCCTCATATATTAATAATAATTGAAGATTCCTTCCTTTGAATTTGCCTTATATTTTTGGTCATCTAGCTACTAGAATATTGGATTGGTTGTATATAATTTTGCATCAACATCATTATCGCATTCTTCTCCAACCATGTTTGTATTGTATTCCTAATTGAGTAAAGTAGGTACTTAAGTGTGTATTGATTGTGCATTTGTATTTGGTTTAGATTGTATACTCTATGATTGATTTATGGCACTCGATCTATTTTTTATGACATTCTTTATATACACAACAACTATCATGTGATGTGCGATTAAATACCAAATCTTGTTAGATGTATGTAATTTAGTTTAATTTAGTAGTTTTTCATCTACATAGTTTTTTTGTTAGTTAACTTTATTAATGCCAACTAGAGTTTAAAGACTTAGGTGGAAAAATTCTCTTGACTTAATATTTTTGTCACAATAAGTCTAATGAGTGGTTTTGAGAGAGAATGCTAATGTTGTAAGGTTTGGCCTAGCTATGGAAATTTAGTCATTTAGTAAAGCTAAAGAATTTTTCTTTATTTAAACTTGCATCCTTGAATACCTTCTTTGTGGTGTAAGATGTAGCTTGACTTAATTGTGCATAGATTTATCATCTTTCCTTAAGAGTATGTTGGTTGTGCATTTTTATTTGATTTAGATTACATATTTTATGATTGATTTATGGCACTTAATATGTTGAGTATAAAAATCTTTATTTACATAAAACATACCTATAAATTGTCCAAATGATCAAGCTCTAAAGAATTTACCAAGTTAAATAAATAAATAAAAGATAATCACTTGGTTGTTTCCATGCTTTGATAACATGACATCTTATATTTAATTTTGTAGCAGCTAGATAAAGATTTTCTACCAAGAAAACTATTGAGCATGTTAATGGACTTTGTACAGAGGTGTTTTTGAAGCATTTGTATATATATTGGTGCATTGAATAAATATATTATGCATTGTTGGTTGTAATTTTTAAATTACTTTGTTTAGTGTTTTATTCACTTCCAACTAGTCTTTACAAAAAAAAAAAAAAAAAAAACTTTTGGCCTTGAGTTCATATGATGTCAATATATTCCAATCTATTCTCTAATATTAAAGATTAAATATCCATGTCTAAGAGACATTACTCATTCAATCAATATACTTTTGAAAATATCATGTAAACAATATTTTTCTTCTTTGATGATTTAAAATTTATATTTGGCTATATTCTAAGATACAAATACTTTTAAGAAAAAATTCTATAAATTTTTTATTTTACTTAATTCATTCCTATCAACTTCATTAGCCAATTTATATAAAATGGTGTATTTCGTAATCTTAATGTACTATTTAGCTAAAATAGGTGATAGAACATTGAATAGAAAGTATGTAGATGCTAGTGTTTTAGATCTTTTGCTATGTTTATCAAAGTTGTGATAGTCCTTTTGTCAAACATATTCCAAATTTTGTTCTAGATTTAATTATCCAATGGATATTTAGATGCTATTTGTATTTATTTTTTATAAATTAAATTTAATGCATTTTATATCTAAGCAAGGTGTACAAGTTGAAATATTGGACATGATATTTTTTTTAACATCTATTATGTTAAAAAATCATTAAGTGTTACTTCTAAGTCAAGCAAATTTAATCTTCTATTCTAAATGCATTAACTAACAATTATTTATAATATTCTTATTTGTATATTAGCTTATCAATAGGAAATCGTTTGAAATGTATCTAATACTTTCTATGCCTTTGAATGAATCATTTCACAATTCAATAATAATAAAAATTATAATTTTTAAGATAATATATTTAATCTCTAAAATTATTCTTGCTAAAGTTGGTTTTTACATATATATATATATATATATATATATATATATTCTTTAATCTAAGAATCAACAATAGCCTCTTAATCCTTCTTGTAGTCTACAACTTTGCAAACTTCTACCTTAGCCTATTGCTAATTAAATTTTCTCAATCATAGAATTTATTCTTTTTGGATCATCCTAAAGTTGCAAAGTTATCCTAATTTCTTTTGAATTCTAATGTCTTGTTGAAGATATATAAATTAGCAATAAGTGAGTCAATTTTCTATTTTATCTTCAATAAATATGACCAAAATTATACTCATATTAATTAATAGTTAACTACTCTAAGTTTTTTGGTTGATATAGATATATATATATATATATATATATCTTTTAATTAGTGTTGATTGATGGCATATTTGAGATTAAAATTGAAGAATTTATTAATAATAAAAAATAAATATTGAGTAGAGAACACACTTAGGATATTTCTTATTGAACTTAGAATTTATGAGATAGAACATCAAGCATTGCCTTAGTTCTATTAAACAATAATTTAACCATTTGTATGAATTTAGAGCCAAAGCCAATGGCTTTTATTGTTCCATTAACAATTTTCATGATATAGTGTAAAAGTCTTGATGTCTTTTTTTTTATTCAATGAATGGCTTTGTGCACTAAGTTTATATTATCTTATGTGTGTCTAACTAGAAAGAAGGTCATTGATCTTAATCACTTAAATTAAACAAGATATATTTATCCTAAACTAAAGCACTTTTGAATAAATTTTTTAAGTTGAGTCTTAAAGGTTGTCTCAGAGAGCAAAGAGTCTTCAACAAGTAATTATCTAACGTGTTCTATGAACTCAAGTACCATGCATAAGACATGGTTTAATAAGACAAATTAGTTTAAGTTATTTTTTAAAAAATAAATTCATACATATCTACTTTCTATGTCTCAGGATTTTAATGGATACAGCAACTTCACTACTTTTGTAAATAATTTTATCCTGTTTAGCAACAACGAAGACTTTATTTTTATTTTTTTCACCACACTCTAAGAAAGAATTCATTAAAAACTTAAATAGTATAAAATTTACTAAATAAAATTTATTGAACGGGTTTAACTGCCAACACAAATTGATTAAATACAAAATCTGTTGTCTGGGACTTCTTACTAAATAAATACATACATTTTTATGCAATTTTCTTTAAACGCTCTATGTTAATATTCCTCCACTATCTTGTGTTTGTATGAGTCAAAAATTTGAATACAAAGTCAGACAACTTCTTCGTTTGCACATTTGACATTAATGTATAAAATGCGTATGAGTCTTGACATCGCTGGAACAATTTTGTGAAAGTAGCATTATTAATACATTGAAAAATATTAATGAATGTGATCAAATGCTAATACAAACTAACATGCATGGGAATACAATTGATTAAGAAGTTTCAAACCAAATCTCATTCATCTAAGATGAGGGTGAGAGCGTATTATAACATCGATGTGTCTACAAAACTCACTTCCTTCTCTTTCGAACAAATTCTATTGCTATTTAAGTTCAACAAGTTACACCTTCTTTCTCAGAACATTTATTACAGAAGGTAATCTAAAAGTTACTGTTTCAAGCTTAAAAAATTAACTCACTAATAAACATATGATTTAGAATGCACGATATACATCTCTGGTTCAGGCTACATCATAAAATTCATACCCTAACGTACAGTTTACAAGTGATGGTATTGACTAAAACTCCGAGGAAGTTGAAGGTATTAATCCGGTTGATTCTAAAACATGATACAGTCAAGACAATCCCCTCCACTACTCGACTATCCCGAACTCCCCCCAAGCGAGGATAAATAAACCTTATAATGAAAGTCCACAAGGTATTGTATCCATGTAAACTCCGAACAGGAAGCTGAGGACATGAAACAAGACTAAACAGAGCTGACATTCATAAGACAAGACATACTATCTGAACAGGAAGAAGATCCTCACAAGTGCTGACTAACTCGATCACTTTACTGCATTTGACCCTACCAAAATGTGACCTTTTAAGCACATGACAAGAAAACACCGAAAACCACCTACAGCTCCCGTAAATAGGAACGTTGCTAATTGCCGGAGTCCTGCCTATGGCTATCGAGATCAGTTTACCAACGATCTCGACGCTCTGGACGATCTTCAGTGCGCTCTGGACGATCTTCTGTTGGTCTGCCACCGATGACAGGACGCTGCCCAAAGGACCTGCCTCCTCCACGATTGGGAGGAGCGTATACACCAGACCGAGGAGGCTCATTGGTGTCCCCACGTGCAGGTGGTGCATCATAAGTCCGTCGCACTGGAGGAGGCTCATACGCTCGTGGAGGAGCTTCAGGGTCGGACTGACGGGCTCGAGGCGGTTGATAAGCTTTGGAGGGAGGAGCATTGGCAGACTCTCTATCGATCGGCCTATCAGCATCACGAGGAGGAGCTGATCGCGACGACAGGAAAAGAGGCCGACGTTCCTCCACTGGTGGACGCACATCTCGACGGTCTTCCATGCTAGGACGCTTCAATTCCTCGCCGCTCTCCCTAAACTTTCGAAGCGAAGGAGGAACAAACTTTCCTGGTTTCTCTTGAAGCCTAGCTTGTAAAGCTTCCTCTCTCTCACGCTTCTCTCTCTCTTCGGCGGCAGCTTCCCTCTCACGTTGCTTTTGGGCAATTTCCTCCAACTTCGCAAGGCGTTCAGCTTCTTCTCTGCGTTTGCGCTCTTCCTCTGCAAAGAGAACAGTCATGGCGTCAAATGGTGCTCGAGACCCTATCGTTGCCAAATTATCTAGAACTGCAATACAGCATATTCAATGCATGGATGTCGGAATGTAATAGTACACACCTTCTCTCTTCCTAGCCTCCTCTTCTTCCTGGATCTTGAGAAGGCGCTGCTCCTCTTGTCTCTTGAAGTATTCTTTTTTGCGTCTGATTTCACGTTCATGAGATCTAATAGCACGCTCCTCAGCAAGTCTTTCCTCCCGCAAGCGCTTCAACCTCTCGAACTCTCCATGACGACGGCTGACAACTTGTCGTTGGAAAATTTCCTGATGATCAGAAGGACTCCAATGATGAGATATGAGCTCAATGCTAAGTTTACAATCTTTCAGAACTTGCATAAGGTACGTCAGAAGCAAATACCTTGTCTTCTCCCATCCGCTCCAACCGATGCTTCTCGACAACGTCAGTCTCATGCTGCTTCTTGCTCTGCTCAATAGCTTGCTGGAAAATGCAAATGGGGACAGGTTAGAGTATTTACAATGACCCCAAAGGTACCAAATACAAGATTTTTCCGCTTTGACTCCTTCAGGTAGATGTGAGCTCACCTCCTGCTGCTGCTGATAGAACCTCTCATCATCTTGAAGCCGCTTATGGTAAGCCTCCTCAATCAGTGGTCTCTCCTCCTCTCGCTTCGCGCGTTCCAGATAGTCCATTGTCTTGGCAAGCTTTTGAAGCTTCCGCTCCATCTCTTGCCGTTCTCTAATTTGCTCACTCAGAGCTTCTTCCATCAGAAGCTGCTTCGAGAGTTTACTGACTTCCTGCAATTCCACGTTCAAGATTACATCCGTTTAAATCTACATCTGATGATAAAACTAATAAAACTTATATTATTAATTACCAGAATTTCTTTAAAAGAAACATTGATAACTTACTCCATCAACACCTCCTTTCTTGCCCTTCTTGCCCTTTCGTTTTTCAGCTTCAGCAAGCAAAGCCCTCGCTTCTTCCAGTTCCTTTTCTTCAATTTCCTTTCGAATCCTGGCTTCCTCTCGTCTGGCTGACTCGTTTGCGAGTCTCTTGGCCTCAGCCTCTTCTGTCAAGCGTTGCTGTTTCAGTCTCTTCGACTCCTCTTCTCTCTCCTGTTGGATTAGAACCAATTCAAACACGATAAATCAATAACTGAAAGGTGACGAGTTCTAACTCTCAAGAAAAAAACGTGTAAATTTCCAATACACCATGTGCAACAATTCGCTGCACATACAGATATTCACACACCATTTCAAGCATTTGTCGCTCCTGTTCTTCTTTCCGACGCTCGATCAAAACCTTGCGAGCAAGCAACTTCTTGTGCTCTTTCTCTACGATGGCTTGAAGCTCAGCGTATGGCAAAATCTGCTTTGAAGACCTCTCGACAGTGGGTGGAGAGATCATGCTGCAGGCCTTCTTCAACCTCTTCGCAAGAATAGCAAGGTGAGTCTTTACTTTCTCAGACTCCAAGTCCTGCATAACCACGTATATTAGTCCTACTGCAAGGAGGCCGACTTCTATACGATTGAACTCAACAAGGACGGGCGTATTTTTTGAACAGTTGACCAGCAATAGAGCGTTCACCTGACTACCGAAGTTGACAACTTCTTTCAGATGATCAACCTTCATTTGCACAAAGTTGTACTTCACTGCTTCCACAATCAACTTCTCGATGACCGAGAAATCAAAAAATGTGACCATTCGAGTGAGGTCTGCAATTCTAATGGTCGAATAGACTTGAGATGCCTGCAGAACAAGCCTCGCAAGAAAGTTAATGATTTGAAAATATCATCACTGTACGATACCCTAAAAAGTACAATCACAAGCCTGGTCTGTTCCAAACTAACTTAGTTAGCCAACGTGCAAGATACAAACTCTACATCTCTTCACAAGACTTCACCTGCAGAAGAACTCGGAGAGTAGTAAGCCTTTCAAGAGCTGGAACATACTGCTCTAATCGCACTTCCGGAACCGGTGATGCTGAAGACAGCTTATCACTTAGATTTGGGAGTTTCGAGAGAAAAGGCTGAGCTTTCGCAGCAAGGTCAAGCGGGTGGAATTCATTCTCTAGCAATGTGTAGAGATCCTTGACCTCCGGTGAAACATACGTCATCACACCTTTCGCAACCTGCATACATGCCACCCAACTATGAGAAACTATAACCACTAGTACGAATGGAAATAACAAAAACCAAAATAATTCGCACCAGGCTAATGAGCAAGGTATTGATTTCGTATACAATAGAGCAAAAAGTAAAGAATAATACATAACATTTGAAAAATCAGGTACCACTGAGAGTAAGATAAACAACACAAGTCTTCGAGTTCTCTGCAGAACTCAACTTCTCTAAGACAAAAAATAACATTAAGAGAAATGTAGATAAATGCTTTCAATAATTGCTACAAATCCGGTGCTTAAGCATACACACATCAAATATGAACTTACAAGTTCAGAAAGTAGAGCTGCCCTGGATAGCTGCAAAAAAAATTGAAACACAGAAATAGAAGTAAGCGAATGGTAAAATGAACTACATGAAGAATTAATATGCTCTACGAAAGAAAAATTTAAAGAGAAATACATAATTATTATAACCCTAAACTGAAAAGATAGCAATACTATAGAAGGCTACCATGAAAAGCGACATCGCCAAGATCGAGGCATAATCAAGTAATTTTATTGAAGATACTTACGACTTCCCGAGAGTCTTTCTTTGCATCGATGTTGAATCCCAGAATGTTGGCCATTCGAATGTTCCGGTCCTTTTCCATCTCTAACTCGAAGTGGTGAGCACCATGCTTGCGGTCATAGGGGGGTACAGCAAGAGTTGCCAACACTACAGCTGACGCCATGAGTTGCAAATCCTTTGCTGTGAGATTCTTGTTATAGCTCTTTTGCAGGTTGTATAACTTGTACCATGCGTAGGCATGATATAAGTGATTGTCAGATACCCAGTAGATAAGTGTCAGTTTGGCATAGTAGACGGCCATCATTTGGGGCTTCGGCGTTCTCTTCACCATGGACATCAGTCCATGAATATCCTCAATCGAGCGGAACGCTTCCTGTGCAATTGGATCAGCACAAAGTTAGTTGCAATGCCCCACCATAAATATGCAGTAAATCATTTCTCAGAAATCGTAGGAAAATTTAGAAAATGACTTCTACTTCAGACCAGTATTCATGAAATATTCTAGACCTCCACAATCACTATCGACTAACACCATCGCACTAGGACAATATGCTGCTACTTAAAGTCTCACACCCTGCTACGGATGTGCCCCCAAGTCATCCTAAAAAGAGCAACATTTCCTGAAGGTAGGTTTCCACAATCAACCAGCATCCACAAACATGCACGCAAACTACGCCATCTCGAAAAAAATCGCACCTGCCATAACTCTAACTCTGTAGCGATCTTGAGCTGTTCAAACCTAGTCTCTAGATACAACTGCAGACTTTCTGGCTGACTGAGATCAGGCCTGTCACGCTGATCTCTGTATTTGTTCAGGTTGGTAAGATGATTGCGGAGAATTTCGCAGAGCCGTCGAAATTCTGTTGTGCGCTTATATTGGAGGCAAAACTGAAAAGCCCGATGGGCTGTCATCTGTTGGCATATCACACAAAAATAATCAGAGGGGAGTACACCAAACACGCTGTGATTAAACAAGGGAATTAACTAAGCTTCTTAAGTTGCGGAATAAATCGGAAGTTAAAAGTGACGCAGCCGCTCGCTAGCTATCCAATCGCAGTGATTCACAAATTCAGTGATTCAAACGCATTGCGTACAAACTGTTTTTAATTCAGGAAAATGCGATTTAAAAGCAAATAAATCAGAGAATCCCCGATGGAGATTCGGCCTTAATTTCAGAAACATGGAAACAACTCAACAAATAATGAATCCCGTTAAGTAGACGTTTACTTACGGCGTACAAGGACTCCAACTTTGAATTGTTCCGCAGAATTTCCAGTACTGTTCGATATGTTTCCCATAGAAACTTAAACCACGGAGTCACGGTTTCGCGATCAGAGCGTTCTTTCCCCCTCTCGCCGCTGACGTAACTCAACATCAAATCCTCCGGCCTTTTCTCAGCCTCCAAATCCTCAACATCCAAAGTTACCTCAGCAGCTGCTGCTTGGGCTTGCGCAGCCTCGGCACGCTCGCTGGACAGCTGAAGGAAGTACTTGATGACTTCCTCCAGCGAACTGACATTGACTTGCTGGCAGACTATCCGATACTGGATTAACCCATCCTTGGCAAATCTGCCCTTCTTCATGTCCACACAGAGCTCGACATACTTGAACATAATCTTCTCTAGCGTTTTCTGCCATGCTCGGTACCTTTTCGACGTAATCAGATCGTGAAGTGCTTGTAGTGCAGCCTGCTTTTGCCCAACATTCATCAACTCTGCCAGAAGCCAGGTCCAGCCAGTCAGCCCAACCAGAAAACGCAACCATCGATGAATAGAGACAAATGCTGCCTGGGCTTATCTAGATCTGGATCCAAAAAGACCAACAACCTTATCCTCACTTGATAATAGCCGTACACTGTACCTTAGCCTTGCAAATATGGGAATAACCACCAATTTCGAGCAAGCCATGTTACAAAATGACCTAGAAATCATGTAACCTAACGATCGACTGCGCATGCAAAAAGCCGGCAGCTCCGCCATGAAACTTCAATCTGAGGCGACGGATCCTGAATTCATTCCGGCTCTTGCTGCCAGAGTCTTTAGGGGAAATATTTACCGTGCATAATTCTCTACTACCACTCGCATGAAGATAGAGAGGCAACAGCAACGTCTAAGGAATAGGACTACAGAAAAAAGGACTTTAACCCTAGGTCGATACACCCAAGCCTACAAATCCTCACTCTTCACACACAACCACCGCAATTACAGGGCCTTAAACTAGTGAGCTCGGTCCACGAGAAAAGAAAAGGCGGGGCACAAGAATCTCCAGCTGCAAGCTACATTCATGATACACACAGCAGCTCGCGACGGAAACGAATTGAGCATGCTCCTACGGACAAACCTCCCACGCAAGAAAAAAAGGAAAAAACGTATGAGCAGAAACCCAAACCCCAAATCAGGAGAAGCAGATCATACCTTCTGCTCGCTTGAGAGCATTTTCAGGTTTCGCAAAGGTCGCCATGGTGGCAGGAGGCGAATCGCCACCGAACACTCCAGTGCAAAGGGGTCCCGGGCGATGTAGACGACAACTACTCCCCGAGTGGGAGAGGGCGAGGGGAGAGAGAGCCAACGAAATGGCAAGACCCTGGTCATGAGACCGCAACGGAGCAAAAAGAGCGGTGCGCACCCCCCGAAACCCTAATGCCAATCCCCCCCCCCGTAGGTTACCCTCCGCCGTGGATCCCCCTCCTCGACGGTCCAGATGTTGCGTCTCTCCCTCTGAGCACTTGAGCGCTTGCAGACCTAATACCGTATGTATTCCCTGCGTCGAATATTACCTCGTGTACTTATGTTTCGTTCGATGATATATTGGATGAACAGAGTATTCCACGATTAATACTTTTTCTGTTCGTAATGTGGTAGGGTCCATGTCACAGCCAAGGAATTTCCTTCTTCTTTTTTCTTTTCTTTTCTTTTTAATACTATTTCCTGCATATAAAGAAAAACTTATAAAATATACCAAAATATTAAGCACCACTAAAAACATGTATATCATTCATGAAAACAAAATGATAACATGAAATATATATATATATATATATATATATACACACAGAGAGAGAGAGAGAGAGAGAAATTATTTTTTTTAATAATTTTTATTTGTAAAAACAAAAGCTAAATGTTAGGTAGATCTAAAAATATTCTTAGATGTATTGTGTGAAAATAAAATTAAAAAATAGATTAATTTATTTTTTAGTGATATATGTTGACATTATAGACTTCCAATTAAAATAACATTTGGTTGAGGACCTTAGTTTGTTTTAAAATTTCGGAAGAAACTCTTTAAGTTGTTAAAAATAAATATTGAAATGTCTTCAGATTTTCATGTTCAAATTGATGCATGAATTCAGGATGTAAATCAAATTTTAGATCAATAATTGCAAAATGTCATCAATAAATTAATCCATATAAGTGTTATTATGAAAATTTGTCTAATAACCATAGAATATTATGCACAGGTATAATTCTATTCTACAAGAAGAAGAAAAAAAAAATCATTGTTTTAAGCAATATAAATTCTTTAAATATATCTACCTAATTAAAACTTGCATTATACAAAGACACCAAACTTAATATATGCACTTTCAATATAAATCCCTATTACATTGCATTGTCTTCTCATGAATGATATATATATATATATATATATATATACTTATTTATCGAGGAATGTTAAATAGACCAAGGTTTTTACTAATTTGATCTACACATGATGAAGAATATGGTTGGTTTTCATTGGTTTTGGATCTAGTACTGGAGAAATGAATGTAGAGGTTATTTGTTTTTTTATGATGGTTAGGATAGGTGGGTCAATTTAGCAAAAGCTTGGATCTACTTAACATTCCTCTATTTATACATGTATATGTTTTTGTATACTACATAAATACAAATTCATACACAATGTATATTGCTAATAAACTGAAATAATTTAAATTGAAATCAATGTAAATAATATAGATAGATAGATTTTTTTTTTTTTTTTTTTTTTTTTTTTAAGGTTCTTTGGTTAAAATTTCAATCATGAGATTTTAGATTGTTTTAAGAAGAATAATAACAAATGTAAAAGATAATAGGTTTTTACTACTAGTTATTTTTTATGTAAACTAAATTAAAAATATATATATAAGATAGTAAGAAAAAAGTTACAAAGGATATTAATTAGAGTTGAAAAAAGTATTTAAAATTAATGTACTTTTAAAGCAATTTTTTAGAATATGCATCAAAATGCTCAATATTGGAGTTTTATGTTGAAATACTCTTACAATGTATAAGCATCTTAAATGTAGTATTAAGTCAGAAATATATTTTCTACAAAAGCATATTACAAAGTACATATCTAATTTATCAGAATATAAAATAACATGTCTAAATTTGAGTTCTCAAGTATAAAAAGTATATTATACTGTAAACATAATAAAATCTTTTCTTTAACATACATCTTAATAATTCTACATTCTTAAAAGCCAACACTTATCTTTCATCCAAAGTTTATTTCTTCAAAATTTTCAAACATTAGTCATTCACATCTTTTTACCAATTTCTAACATTACCATGTGTATTAAAAATAACTATTTTTTAATAGAAAGACAAGTAAAGAAGATGAACTCAAAATAAGTATGTGAGCAATCAAACAAGTAGGCTTGCATGCATACAAGCAATAAGTATGTATAAAGAGAGAATGATAACATTCTACACATTTTAAACAATTTCATGTAAAGAGTGGATAACTATGAGAATTTATTTATTGCTTCAACTTTAATTTTTAGATAATAACTAGAGATTTGAATACTTCTCATGAATAAGTATTTATCTACATAACATCTTTTGTTCCACCAACACATGAAATATCCTATCAATTTGAGAAGCAACTCTTGTGAACTTAAGCTAATATTCTAATTAACAAGAATCTTTTTTAAACCAATAAAAGGATTTATTTATGTCCTCAAATTATTACTCTCTTGTTTAAAACTTGACCTCCTTTATCCTATGGCTTTGAAAGATAATATTGATTAATGTACTAAACAAAAAGATTGATATAAAAGGAGCTTTATTCTATCACTTTGATAGATAAAGCTAAGTAATTAACAAAATGAATAGATTGATGCAATGGTATGTGTAGTTGGCACCCTATACACTATTCAAATGTTAGATACAATAAAACATTGCTTTTCAGTTGGAGGAAAAATTTATGCTTGAAGCATTAAATAACTTTGACATAGCACCAGGAACCCCCGAAGGTCAAAAGGCTAGTTCAGAAAAGTAGACGGTATACATGTATTTTTTATTTCAGGACCAATCGAACTCATTGTATTTTTTATTTTTAGTTGGTGTGATATGTAAAACTATAAATCGTACATTGAAATGCGACTTTCAAAACATGGCTCGGACTCTTACAATAAAAGCTGAAGATAACCCCAACTACACCTTCCAAGACGATTGAGCACTGGCTTCAGGGGCAATCAGAAGGACAGCATGAATATGCATAAATTAAATATATGTGAAGGATAAAAGCATGGATTCAAAGAGTGCTCTTAAACCCGGAAATATCTCCAGTATCCATTCGCACAGCGTTGAAAAAATGTACGGTCAGAAAAAAAGGCCACAAGTGCTGCATGACCTGTCACTTGCTTTACTTCTAACAGCTCTTCACAACGCCCAACCTCGGGTAACAGATTACAACCCTGACCTTCTATGAAATTGGAGTCGCTATAAAGAGTTCTTTTGGTGCCAATATGTTGGTGCCACTCTGGTTGACTAAGCAGCCTCGACATCCACCCATAGATGCTAGTCATGAACCTGCCAGAGATCAGAAGTTGGATGTAGAACCTTCTTAGACATGAACCCTTGAACAAAAACAACACAAATTTGCCTAAAATTTCAGTCGAAGTGAGAATATATCAATAAAAAGGTTACTTCCGCAGGCAGCATACCGACTAGGAAGAGTGAATCGTACACAAACCTGATCATATGCTATTCTCATGCACGATGCATATCGAAGATGGTCACACATGTATAGAATGAAAAACACTCGTTCCTGCAAATACAAATGAACACATGATCGAACATATGTGATGTGTGACTGCAAATCGGTAAGTTGGGATTGCAATATCAGGAACATTCACATAACTAGTCTATACAACAGAAGCTACAATAAGGTAGCACATGTTCAAAATCAGCAACAGGCAATGCGTTTTTATGGAATCGCACAGCCCGGATCTTCACAAAGACCTCCGAAAACACTTGGACAATGTCAACTGGGACTCGAATACCTTCTTCATGCAGCAATGTACCGTGTAATATGAGTGCCCTAAATCTTCACCCACGCTTGGAACGATGTGTCGTCCTCTGCCGCTCCCAGTCCCTCGTTAGACCCATTCTATCAGGGCGAGAAATTTCTCGGTACTTTGTGAAAGGGAAAGCTGGAGAACGTCTAGATCCCTCGACTCTATCACTCCGCTTACCCACAGAATACATCCCAGCAGGTGAACTTCTCTGATTCGATGAGGAATCACCCTTAACCTTAATGGGCCTCGATAAATCTTTACCACCCCTCTTAAAAACCTTCGCTGAAGAACCCAGTTTGAACTTGGCTGCATATGTCTTAGCCAATGATGACCGCATAATGTAGCTGAGGCGGTTGACGCATTGGCGTTTAGAATCAGCGAGATGGTAATATTCAGCAAGTCCCCTCAATATATTACCGACAACCTTGACAGACTTATCCTGAGGATACTGGTAATATTTGAAATTGGGTATCGGATTGCCACTCTTATCGCAGAACCCCTTCTCTGCCAGACGTCTAATCACCTTATCCATGTCCACAAGAAAGCAAAGAGTACCAATATCCTCAATCCTGTATGTAATCCACTTGTCACCCTGTCGACGACAAAATTTGCGAATCCTGTCGGGATTTCTGCTCATGAGGTATCCCAGAAATGGCACTTTGCTGTCTTTGGCTCGATATATTTCAAAGCTGTCAGGTGCAGGCTGCATTCCAAGCTTGACCCTCAAGAATCGGATAACTAGTTCCTGTATCCGCACTGCAAGAACTCGAGGTCCTATGATACCAATTAAAAAATCGTCAGCAAACCGGGTGTAGGTGATACGTCGTAAGTAAGGATCTTGAGGAGGCCCTAAGGAGATAGTTCGATTGTTTTGTGTCACCATCCTATAAGCAGTTCGATCGAGAGCCAATGCATTTCTTTGGACGTTGAAGACCGCAGGAGTAGCAGACTGGCGCCGTCCCCTGTCAACTATACTCTTCAGACGCATAAGAAAAGTGTCTACTTCGTGAAGCACTATGTTTGAAGCAAGAGGATCAAATCCGTCCTTCATGATCCCTCGCCGCGCTGATGCCCTAAGGCTTGCCATCAGATTTTTCTCCAAAGCTTTGACGCTCTTGGATTGGATCTTATTCTTCAAGAGACGCTCAACTTTGTCAGGTGGAATTTTATCAAAATACTTTGACAAACTATTCCCTTTTATATACCAAACAGTACCCTGGAAGTCACGACGTATTTGCTTGAGACAAGTGTGCTGAGAAAGGCCCGGTCGAAATCCATGGGAACATTCAAGATAGTGTGGTTCAAATATTTTCTCGTATTCAACAGCTGGGGAAATAGGTATAAGAGATGGATCGATGGACTTGCCTGCAATACCCCAGGAGAAAGCTTGAGCCACCACTCTAAATTCAGTCTAAATATATGCCGTCCAAGTTAGACATAACACTGGATTTTCTTTCATAATATTCAGTGTTTAAACCAATCAGATACTTCACATCATAATGGCATAAATTTCATCAGATCATATTTAACATAAATCTTTCCATATTCTCTGACAGTGAATATCCGAGTTTAATTACACTTGCTGGGAGAGAGAGGGAAAACTAAATGTAATAAAATTTCAAAACTAACCTCGGATAAATGTACCCTGCCGCATAAGCTCACGGTTAAGAGTATCCATAGCAGCCTTCAGCCAGGGCTCTTGTCGGACTTCCTCGGATGGATCAGATGGAAATGTTTTCCAATTATTGCCATCCTTGCCTACAACAAACAGAAGACCATACTTAATCCACGCGTTCGTGACAACCATCGTGTTCAAAGCTCAGTAAACTGCGTCAACTACACACCACAGACCTAGCCATTTGAATAATCTTAAACATTGACAATGATTGGAATGCCACACCATGACCAGCAGTTTCAACTCAACGAGTGACAAACACAAACGCGGATTAAAAAATCACCTCTACTGTCAAGCTTAAAGGTTGCCACCGAAACTCTTCGTTGCGAAACCAAGGAAACACCCACATTTTGCCGCAAAAATGATCTGAGGTGACGTACGATTCCGTGTCCAATGCTCATGATTACAATCGATGGTCCAATCCGCTCAGACGCATCAATTACCAGTCAAACCAACTACATTGCATCACGATTGAATCGTAAAGCCTGATCGCATAAGCCCTAAACCCTAAATTTTTGAAGAGCTACTTCTGCAGCTCTCTTCGCAGCAACATTCATCCACTGCTAGCAGCCAAAATCCAATAGTCAATCCAACTGACACACGAAGTCGGCAAGGTATACACTCCACAGCCTCCTGGTCTCTCAGCAATTCCGAAATCCGCATCAAAAAACTAGAGACTGAATTCTACAGATAGTGATTGGTAACACACTGAACTAATTCCGCGATTACGAATAAAACGAAGGTTCGTAGTCAAGTAGGAAATGTAAATTACCGCTAAAAACCAAGCGTTCGATGACAACATGGAAAACTGGCCTCCTCGCTTTACTGCAAAACCAAGTGAGCAAACCTGGAGACCGATTGCGATCTTGAACATCGCTAATTGGCCATGGAAGAAACGGAATCCAATTTCAATGAGCTAAAATTAAGATTCAAAGCGAGAAATACAAAGACAAATACTTGTTCGGCGACGAATTTCGAAGCGCTGATATAATTCACCGAGCCTTCGGTGCGTCGAAACCCTAAATCTAGTGCTGTCTTCACAAGTGTGCCGAATTTGGGGGCCTTGTGACCGTGTCGCCCGATCACCGGGCAGGATCCTCGAATCGTCTGTCCACGGAATTGGGTACTCTTTGAACATTCCCTTTCCTTCATAACTTTACTTTAAAGCTAGTTTTCAAATTTTGGTAACTTGTGGGGTTTATCAGTTTGATAGATGAAAAAATAAAAAATACAAATATTTTTTAAAAATATTTCAATCTAGAAGAATATTGAAAGTATTCATCACATACATTACAAATTCATTTCCAGATTTTGCTTATCCAAATACATTGTATACACAACTTCTAGTCAATTGTTTTTTTATTGATTTTGTTATATGTTAATAAAAAAAATCCTGTAATCATGTGTTAGAGAATCATAATTAAGTAAAAAAAAAATATTAGATTTTATTAATTTTAATAAATAATATGTGTACGAACATAAAATAAAAGTACCTATTTGAATTTTATTTATAAAACATAAAATATCATATCATATGCCAAGAGAAAACAAACTGGATTGAAAGTGGTATGTAAATATGGCTTGCTCAAAAATAAGTAAAACATTCCTTATAATATATTTTTTTCATTTTTCACAGTGAATCTGATTAGTTTTAGTTGAAGAAGATATATATATATATATATATGGATACATAAACTTTAATATGTTTAATGAATTCTTTAAGAAATAAATTTTTGTTTGTTGCTGTAAGAGTGTAATTTTTTCTATCTTCATTAATTCAAGAGAATGTACGATTCGAAGCATATGATAACAAATAAATCATCACGTGCTATGTTAAAGTAATTTTCATGTATAATGTAAAATATCTATTAACAAACAAACAAAACAATAAAAAAGAGGGAGAACGTGCATTTGAAAAATCATACAAAAAGAAAGTATTATGATGTCAAGTTGTGGCTCACATAGATATAAAATCAAAAGTTTTTAATTCAATGAAAAATCCTTCTACTAACTATTACAAATATATATAAATCCTTTAAACAACAAATTAGCTGTTTGAGATTAATTGACACTGGATTAATTCAAATCAATATATAAATCATAAGAGTATTACAATATTCAGCTTTGCAAGTACCAAAACTGAATATTTCCATGAAAATGATTAATTTTCCAGACTTACTTAACAAATTTGTTAAAAGAAAAAGAAATATGCTAATCTAAACAACTTCTGGTTAAAAATCATCGTTGGTTTAATTTTATTAAAAATACAGTCGAAAATAAGTATGCTAAAGATTCTTATAAAATTTCAAAAGAATTTTAAAAATACAGTAGTTGAGATTAAGGTGAAATTTTATTCTGGTGTTTAAATTTTTTGATGAAAAACCCTAAATTTTTTAATATTATATATATACTTACTCATTTGGTAGGTGCTTCGAATATTTCCTAAACTATCTATGAAGATTTAAGCAACTCTAGTGCTTAGCTCGGTAGAACTGCAATTGAGTGCATATGCTGTATAAATTCCTAATAAAACAACTATGTCGCAAATTGATTTCTCTTTATATATGTAATTTTACAGGTGTTTTTTTCCCAACAAATACAAGGTCACAATTTTAGATAATGAGGTTTGTAAGAATAATTTAAAATATAGATATTTTAAAAATAAAATAAAGAAAAATAAAATAATGCAAATAGTAGAAGTAGTATTATATGAAACAAATTTTTACATATCTATTATATAAGACAACACAAATATAAAGCAAAGAGACAAAAAAAGCCTTCTAAGTGGATGTGATGAAGGAAACATGGGAATAAACATAAGATTGAACACAAAACAAAAGAACAGAGGAATCAAAGAACATGAGAATTAAAGAACATGAGAATGACTGAACCAAAAAACATGAGAACAAGGGAACCAAAGAACATGAGAACAAAAGAACCAAAGAACATGAGAACAAAGGAACCAAAGAACATGAAAACAAAGGAACCAAAGAACATGAAAACAAAGGAATCAAAGAACGTGAGAACAAAGGAACCAAAGAACATGAGAACAAGGGAACCAAAGAACATAAGAACAAAAGAACCAAAGAACATGAGAATGAGGGAACCAAAGAACATGAGAACAAAAGAATCAAAGAACATGAGAATGAGGGAACTAAAGAACATGAGAACAAGTGAACCAAAGAACATGAGAACAAAAGAACCAAAGAACATGAGAACAAAGGAACCAAAGAACATGAAAACAAAAGAATCAAAGAACATGAAAACAAAGGAATCAAAGAACGTGAGAACAAAGGAACCAAAGAACATGAGAACAAGGGAATCAAAGAACATGAGAACAAAAGAACCAAAGAACATGAGAATGAGGGAACTAAAGAACATAAGAACAAAGGAACCAAAGAACATGAGAATGAGGGAACTAAAGAACATGAGAACAAGGGAACCAAAGAACATGAGAACAAAAGAACCAAAGAACATGAGAACAAGGGAACCAAAGAACATGAGAACAAAAGAACCAAAGAACATGAAAATGAGGGAACCAAAGAATATGAGAATAAAGGAACCAAAGAACATGAGAATGAGGGAACTAAAGAACATGAGAACAACGAAACCAAAGAACATGAGCACAAAAGAACCAAAGAACATGAGAACAAAGGAACCAAAGAACATGAAAACAAAAGAACCAAAGAACATGAAAACAAAGGAATCAAAGAACGTGAAAACAAAGGAACCAAAGAACATGAGAACAAAAGAACCAAAGAACATGAGAACAAAAGAACCAAAGAACATGAGAACAAAGGAATCAAAAAACATGAAAATAAAGGAACCAAAGAACATGAAAACAAAAGAATCAAAGAACGTGAGAACAAAGGAACCAAAGAACATGAGAACAAGGGAATCAAAGAACATGAGAACAAAAGAACCAAAGAACATGAGAATGAGGTAACTAAAGAACATGAGAATGAGGGAACTAAAGAACATGAGAACTAGAGAACCAAAGAACATGAGAACGAGTGAATCAAAAAATATGAAAATGAAGGAACCAAAGAATATGAGAATAAAGGAACCAAAGAATATGAGAGCAAAGGAATCAAAGAATATGAGAATGAGGGAACCAAAGAACATCATAACAAGGGAACCAAAGAATATGAGAATAAGAGAATCAAAGAACATGAGAACAAAGGAACCAAAGAACATGAGAATGAGGGAACTAAAGAACATGAGAACTAGAGAACCAAAGAACATGAGAACGAGTGAATCAAAAAATATGAAAATGAAGGAACCAAAAAATATGAGAACATAGAAAAGATGGAACATGAGAACATGAAAAAGATGAAATATGAGAATATGAAAAAGATAGAACATATGAATGGAGGCATCAAGAGACACGGAAACATAGGAAAGAATGAATATGGAAAAAATAAAGTATAGATGAATATAAAATGATACACTATATTTTATTTTTGATAATATATATATAATAATAATAATTTTATAATTTTATTAAATTTAAAATTTATTAGAAGAAATATTTGAGTTAAAATAAGAAATATTTGAGTTAAAATAAGTAATTTTAAGATAAAATTAAAATTGAATTATTTAATTATTTTTTGTCAAAATACATACATTTGCATCAATTTATTTGTCATACTTTGTTATGATTTCTTGAATTTTTTATGATATTAAGATAAATCAAATTAAAATCTAAAGAAATTTCTATATATATATATATATATATATATATATATATCTTTGAATGGTGAGCTTTGAAAAATCAAAGAAACAACATGTTATCCTAATTGGTTTGTAAATAAGTAATATTATTTTTTTTTAGTTTATTTTTGAATAAAAATATTCATATGTGATTCTTAATTTTAAATATATAAACCAATACATCTTGAACTATACATAAGTAGTTTAAAATTTGTCTTAATCTTATGAAAACTTTCCAAAGATTAATATAAAAATTTATCTAGAAAATAAAAATAATTTATTTTATGTGTATTAAAAAAATATATAAAATAAATTAATAAAAATATATAGGATCAAAATATGCTTTAAGAGTATGTATATATATATATATATATATATATATATATATATATATAACTTATAAAATAAATTTTACAAATAAAAATGTCATTGAAAAATTAAATATTAGTTAATATAACAACCATAAAATATCCAATAGACTATAAGATGCTATTATATATATTTTATAATATTTAAATACTTCACTTTTTAAATTATTCATTTGAGCTTATGACTCACAAACAAAGTATAAAATCATATTGTATTAAAATAATTCTAAATTTAGCTATTTATTTATTTTATTAAATCTTAAAATATAAGTTTTTTTAATAATTTAAGTTTTTATAAGTGCAATGAATACATTTTTATATTCTTTTTTCACTGTAAAACTAATATTTAAGGATTTATTAGAATTTATTCTATATTATTTTATTTTCATACAAGTATTCTTTAAAAAAATGGCTAACATAGAGAAAAGACATGGCATTAGGATGCATTAAATATAAAGAATCTATTAGTAGAAAATTCTTAAAAATTGACCAAACAAATAGAGGTGTTAGAATAGAAGGATGTGTATAAGATATTTATTTAGAGAAAGTTGAACTAATCAATAAATACATGGAAGATAGAAATGTTGTTGACATTCTTCAAAAGAAAAATCAACTATAACCTATAAAAAAATTAAATATATTTTTAAATATACTAAACTTAATAGATAAGTAGTAAGTGATTTAAATTCAAAATTGATTGTAATTCTTTGTTAAATAATATAAATAAGAAATTTAGAAGATACGATTTTTTTATTTAATTTTTTATATATCACTAAAAAATTGAAATATACATATTTTATACTTATGATTTTAGATATTAATCTGATAATTTTATTTTTTATTCTTTACTTAATTTTTATATTTGATTACTAAATAGAAGTTATTTTGATAATACTTCAAGTATATAATATACAAGTTAGTAATGCTTTTTAAAAACATCTATGCCTTA